TTTTAAAGTATTTCACAATAAATTTTTATTTGTAAAAAACATACACAACCATAGTGTAAAAATAAATTTTTATATAAAGTTGGCGGTATTGATAGAGTATATATCTAGAGATAAGTGAGAGCTAGAGAGAGAAGTGCAAGTAAATGTTTCAATAGAGTAATTTTGTCACCCCTATAACTACCTCCAGAGGAAGTATTTATAGGAAAAATACGGGCTGGACTCCCAAGCCTTGGGCTCGGGAGGCCAGGGGCGGATCCATGTTGATAAGAGGGGGGCAGCTGCCCCCAATAAAACTCTATTAATATCCCCTTTTTCATTAGGAAAAAAAAACAGTCTATACATTTGCTCCCAACAAAAAATTAAAGATGCCCCCAATAAATCTTGGCCGGCTCTACCCAATGCCTAGAGTACCCAATGCCTAGAGTAAAGCATTTTTCTACTATTCATAGCCATTTAGGCTTATACGGAAGAGAATAAATATCAAATAAAATGATTCAAATTTCTAAACAAATAAAAAAAATTGCACTGCCATGAAGTACGAACAGACCGAGGGCTAATGAATAGATTGTGGTGTGTGAATTAGTGTCTGGAATATAACTTAACTTTATTTATATAAAAATGTTAGTAAGCCAACATGTTAAAATAACTATATAAGGTAAATAAATCTTTTATCCAATTGTAAATTAAAATACATAACAACCCAGTTAACACATTTACGGTAGAATATTTATATAGTCTTCAAAACCAGAATTGCATTACCTAACGTACTACTGGTTAAAAAAACCATTGATTTTTCATTTTAAATCAGTCTTAATGAATAGATTGTTGAATAAAACACTTCGAGAAAAGAGGCAAGTAATCCCTCAAACTATTTGCGATTCTGCAATCAGGCCTCGAAACCGGAAGACTTGCAAATACACCCCTCAACTCATTGAAAAGTAAGCAATTGGATCCTTTTCTTACCTGTTGATGTAGGTAAGGAGATGATAGATTAACGGAACCAACAACTAAAAAAGATCTGATTATTTAATTTTCAACGAGTTGAGGAGTGTATCTGCAAGTCTTCCGGTTCATGGGCCTGATTGCAGAATCGCAAATGATTCGAGGCTTAATCGCCCCTTTTCTCAAACACTTTTATTGCCTTGAACAGTTAATTTTGATAACTAATTTGAGTAATAGAATCAATGACTAATGTGTTTTTTTTGTTATGGTCTAGTTTATTTATACAAGGAGATTTACTCCCTCCGTCCCAATTTTCTTAGCCAAACTTGGCTTTTGAAGTCAACGACGTCCAACTTTGACCGATTATATGTTTATATAGAGAAAGTTTAGATAATATGAAAATGATATGAAAATGTTCTTTGTTAAATACTATTATAAAAGTATAAAATTATTAAATTTTGCATAAATATATTAGCTTAAATAATTGGTCAAAGTTAGAGGTCGTTGACTTGAAAAGTCAAGTTTGGCTAAGTAAATTGAGACGAAGGTAGTATTTAATAGTCACAAAAAGATGAAAACCCGAGAAGAGCAATTGTGATCAACTTTTTTTATGGGGTTTGATATTGTTATATGCTTTATTTAGTTTGAACCAATTCTACTATACTATAGAAAAAACTTTAACAAAGAACAAATACTATAATAGTTTTGTTTAGAAAAAATCCTATAATAGTTTGAAACCACAACCAAAAAAGTAAGTAATAAAACACTTTTTCTATTCGGTCTGATATACTTAATTATTTTTTTTAGAGACGTTTTTTCCATGAATATACTTCATTAATTATTCTGCCCCCAATAATTTTTATTTCTGGATCCGCCACTGCGGGAGGCCCATTTACAACTGAACCGCTATTGGGTCGAATACAAAGCAAATGATGAGATATATAAATGAAATAAGTGTAAAATCTAGTTCTGCGAGACTTCCGTGGCCGACGAGGGTCTGGCCGACGAGGGCACGGCCGATGAGGACACGGCCGATGAGGACACCCTGGTTCCTTGGCTTTAGGACCATATTCTGGGTCGGTCCCTCTTCGGCCGACGAGGGTCCTTTGGCCGACGAGGGCACTGCGTAGTGACTTGTACTTTCTGTCCTTCTGAGTATGTGGGTCCTGGGGCCTAGACCCATATACTCCATCAGGTATATATATTACATATGCACGGTATAACAATATTTTTTAACCGTTCTACAAAGATAATTTGAACCACATAGATATAAGTATACAATATTGATGTCCAACAAAAAAGTGAATTATTGAAACAACTTGGATGGCAGCGTCATTTATTATCTTAATATATGGAGGATTTCAAATCATTTTATAAGGAAAAATCACACTTGTTGAAATGTAGTCCCATATCTTCAATTTTGTAAAACCACCCTCACTTGCCTAAGAGTCAAAATGACATCTCATGACATTTTCGGAGACACGTGTTTTTTTACACAATATGTCATTTTTTGGAGCGATCGATCAAAGGCGACATTGATGGTAGGCGAGAGATGACGCGGCAGAGGCCTAGACATTTTTTTTATTCTTTTTTTTCGTATTTTTTTATATTTTAAGTTTGTTTAATTTTCTTTTGATTTTTTAATTTAAATAATTATTTTTACTTTTATTTTATTTACGTGTTTATTAAAAATTTATATTTTTTGTGATTTTTTTGTTTTTATTACAAATAAAAATAATTAGTATTATTTTGTATAATAAAATAAGACTTATTGGAATTATAGTAATAAGGAGTATAATAGGAAGATGGAACATACATCACATAAATTTTGAGAATAAAAATTTGAGAATAAAAAAACGAATTCCTATGTTTACATTTAAGAGTAATTTTACCCCTATTTAGAGTTTTTTGAATATAAAACAACCTTTTATATTAATATTGAGAACTCATACAAGATAATCTCCAAACAATTATGACAGATCCGATCATAAGTCCTATGAATAGACATATAATCATTCACCTCTGATGGAGTATATGGCCGAGGGACCCCCGACCCATAGACTCCTACTACTCTAATCAAGGCCCAATAGGCCCAGGAAGCACAACAGGCCCAAATAACAGCGCTCCGAGTACCAAGCAGCCAACAATGCACAATGGGGGTGTCTTCGGCCCCTGGGCCGAAGGCTCCAGATACTCACAGAACGGCTTTTTCAGGCATACGAAGACACTGGGAGAAAACGGTAAAAATCAGTAGCCCTCGGCATTTCGGAGCCCTCGGCATGAAGAGCCCCCATCTAATCATCTACAGCCGAAGGTACCTTCCTCGACAAGAATATCCTCTCCACATGCGCCTGGGTCGTCATACCAAGTACAACGTCACATTCAACCGCCGCATTAAATGCGGCCACATGCGAATGCCAGTGACACCCGACTGATGTGACCCCTCGGCCGTTGGATGCTTGACACGTGTTCCCGTCTCACATTTATTGCTACTATAAATAGCACCTCATTTCCCCTTTGTAAACCAGATTCTGGATACGCTTTGAACTCATATATTCAATACACTTTCTCTCTCTTACTTGCTCTGACTTCTCTCTAGTTACTCCCCGCAATAACCATTCGGATACATACCCCCGGGTAGACTATCCATCAACCTCGTACGAAGCAACCTAATTCGCTAGTTATAAAACAGACAATTTTAAATCTAAAATGATCAGAAATTAAACACTCTGTATCAAAAATACTCGAGAAATCCACAAATCCAAACCAAGACTACTAGAACTAAAATAAAAATCAATACTGCTAAAGGAAAAATAAAAATGAAATAAAACCCTTTCACAAAATTCTTTATATCAAGGAGGTGGTTCTCGGGGAGGACACTCTCTGTATTTTCTATCCAACAAAAAAAGGACAGAAACCCCTGACCAAGTGAATCTGTCTAGGACACCAAAACAACTCTCCACACTGAGGGATACAAAACACCCGGAGTGCCAGCACTTGAGAAAGAGACACCATAGAACACAAGTAACACATAAGAAAAGAAGAGCAGTCCAATTGGACCGTACTCCTACGGAGAATCTTCGAGAGCTGATACCACTTGTCCATCTTCTCTTCTGCGACCGCCCGAACAACCACGAGCAAGCGCCTTATTGGTAGCCTAAATTACAATACGTTACCTACAGCCGTCCGAACAACCACGAGCAAGGGTTTTGATGGTGGCTGGAATGACTTCTATTTAGGATGTTTCGTTTAGACTATTTTTAGTCTCAAATTAGACCAGACCAAACTTAAATAGATCAAACCAAAACAGATTTAAACAAATCGAATCAAACCAGAATTCCATATATATAAAATACACAAAACCCGGATATTTAACACACTAAACCAGATCAAACCAGTAATGCTACGTGTAAACTTTTTGGTGTGCATCTTTTGTACACTTGTTTGTCTCACGCACACAGAATTGTTTGTACGAAAACCAAGTGTACACACATAACTATGTGTGGGTGCGATAGACACATGTAGGAAAGGTACACAAAAAACTGTACACCTAACAGCTATATCACAAAATTCTGTAATTATTACTACGCTCTCCGTCCCTTATAACTTTGTCAACTTTCTTTTTTTGGTTGTCCAAAAACTTTACCACTTTCCCTTTTAATCAATCAATTTGTGGCTCATGTTATTTCTCTCTCATCTGCACAAATCTCTACCACACAGTTTTTACTTTATTATTTTACGTGTCGGTCAAACTTGGCAATCCTTTTAGGGACGGAGGGAGTACGTACTATCTCCGTCCCACTATGATTGTCCCATTTTACCTTATCAATCCGTTCCACTAAAATTGCCACATACCAAATTGGGCAAAATTTGTGTGTCTCTAAATCATTTTTACTTTATTCTTACTTTATAAATTCAATATCAATAACATAAATCACTTTTTATTAATTTGCGTGTCACTTTTTATCATTTTTATTTTAACATAAACCACTTCTTATTTTGTCCCTTTGTTAGCTAGAAGGAAAGAGTAATTGTTTTTGTACGGATACAGTTAAAGGAATCTTTTTTGCAGCGGCCTACTCCTAACCGTAGAGAGATCCATTGTTGCTGCGGCCAGTAGTGCGCCACCCATTCCTTTCAACTGAAACACCTCTTCTCCTTCATCTCTTTCTATTAACAGGATCATAGTAAAACCCCTCCTGGCAGTGAGCTGCTTACTAAAATGGCTGTTAGCTGCTCTGTCCCAACGCTTCAATTTCCAGCTCAATCATTTCACCCCAAGTCGGTTTCTTCCATCACATTCAAGTCCTTTGCTTTCTCATCTTCTAGATTAGCCGGTACCTCTCTCCTTCTATCTGTCTGCCTGGCTTTGTTGTGTGTGTGTGTGTCTGTGAGAAACTATTGCAGAGTTTTAACACAGTAATCGTTTAAATATTAACCCCCCCCCCCCTGTATTTTGCAGTGAATTCGGGGAGGATTTGTATAGTCAGGTGTTGTTCTTCGAATAAAAGGAAGCCTGAGGATTTTTCCACCGACGCGAGGACGGTCGAAAAAGTTCAAGAAAAGCAGAAAGCTGAATTGTATGCTCGTATTGCTTCAGGCGAGTTTACTGTTGAGAAATCTGGGTAGGTTAACCACAGGGCTATGACTTATGAATGGCTGTTCTCTAAAAGGATAAAGAAAGTACGATTTCCAAATAAGAGTTTGCCTTGTCTTGACCCAAATTAGATAGTGTTGCATTAGTGAAGTAAAGAAAGTGTTCTGATTTTCTTGGAATGAATCATTTTTTTTTAATTCTTTGGATCTAGGTTACCATTAATGCTTACCAGCGGGCTGGCAAGATTGGGCGTCCCTAATACATTTCTTGATTTTTTGCTTAAACGATTTGGTGTCCATGAAGGATATCCTCAGATTCCAGAGGCAAACGGCTCTATTAGGGCCATTACGAGTGAACCTTTTTTCATACCACTTTATGAGCTTTACATCACATACGGTGGAATCTTCAGATTGACCTTTGGTCCCAAGGTTTGTTATTTTCCCTTGTGATCTTATACCCCATATCTGATATTGGCAGTTACTTTCTATTAGGAACACAATTCTATGGTTTGTTATGGCTGTCATATTCGTATTGAATAATGATGTGTGTGTGGCACAGTCTTTCTTAATTGTGTCAGATCCATCTATTGCCAAACACATATTGAAAGACAACTCAAAGGCCTATTCCAAGGTTAGTTAGCCTTTTTTGATGGCTTATTTTTGAAATATCTACTACTCCTTAATTTTTGAATGCATGTTTTGACGTTCAGGGCATCCTAGCTGAAATTTTGGATTTTGTTATGGGGAAGGGACTCATACCAGCAGATGGAGAGATATGGCGTGTCAGACGCCGTGCTATTGTTCCAGCATTGCATCAGAAGGTATCCAATGGCTTTGTTAAATTTTTTGTTTACACTTCATATCTAGCTTGTTATACTCGGAGCCCATCGCTAAGGTTAATTTGGCTGAATATGCGGTATTTTCTGAAAGACACAACCTTTATTAAAATTGATACGTAGTATTAGATAAACAAGTAATATAAAGACTACTTATTCCGCTGATAAGCATAACAATCCAATTAATGCTACCAAACTTGCCTTATTCTCTTATGCTCATTCTCACATCTAACATACTAAATGGGGGGCTTCTAGTTTAAAATTACCATGTTTTGCCATTGTTCATGGTAGTATGTAGCGAAAATGATTGGCTTGTTTGGACAAGCAACGGATAGATTGTGTAAGAAGCTCGATGCCTCTGCATCAGAAAGAGAAGATGTGGAGATGGAGTCCCTTTTCTCGCGCTTAACGCTGGATATAATCGGAAAAGCTCTATTCAATTATGACTTTGATTCGTTAACAGTTGATACGGGTATAGTAGAGGTAATTCTCTATGAGTTTATTCGCATTGAATATCGAGTCCAGTGCCTATTTGCCCACTTTTCACATGATGTTTAGTGTTTGTTTTGTTTTTCTTGGAGCAGGCTGTATATATTGTGTTGCGCGAAGCAGAGGATCGAAGTGTTGCTCCAATTCCACTTTGGGAGATCCCCATCTGGAAAGACATTTCACCTAAGCTGAAGAAGGTCAACAAAGCACTAAAGCTGATCAATAACACCCTGGATGATCTGATTGCAACATGTAAGGTAATGCCATTCTGTTGGGTTTGCAATATGTCAAGGCTTGAAGAATCTAGTAAATAACCTCTTAACCCACTCTTTGTTCCCACTTGTCCTTTTAGGCTTAAACAAAGCTTGTGCAGGTAAATCTAAATGGTCGAACTCCAGTCTGTTGGAGAGAATACTTTGGCAATTAGTTGTTTATTTTAGCGGTTTTGATTTACTTTTTACTTTACCTCTTTATGCAGCACTCAGAAAGGTTAGGTAATAGTAATCAGTTTTAGTGGTTTTAATGTGTCAACTGACATATAAGGTCAAAAAGCTAATAGCTTCTCCTAAAAGGATATTTGTTTAAGGGAAACATGATAATAAAATGAAATACGTGAAACTCTATTTTCCATTCTTTTTTAAAATGATACTATAGCTTATTTGACAGGCTTACTAAATGATATAATTAGCGTTTTGGCTTGTTCAAACATCACCTATCTTTTTTTGCTAACCCACCAATGAGCTCTTTACCAAACAGGGCCTTAATAAGATAGATGTTTTGGTATTACAACTAAACCATAAAACCAGCCGTGGATTCACGTCCTTGCACCGCTTCTTTAGTCTCCTTATAGAGATTGAATTTGCTTAAATATTTTTTCTGGTGGCTGATGTTATCATGCTCCATTTTCAATTACAAATGCATTGCAGAGAATGGTAGATGATGAAGAGTTACAGTTTCACGAGGAATACATAAATGAACAAGATCCTAGTATCCTCCGTTTTTTGCTGGCATCGGGTGATGATGTAAGGCGTAGTGTCTTCGTTGGCTATATTTATTGATATCCATAACCATTTGGGACAGAGGTTCTCATACTCATTTGTAGGTCTCAAGCAAGCAACTTCGTGATGATTTGATGACAATGCTAATAGCTGGACATGAAACATCTGCCGCCGTGCTGACTTGGACATTTTATCTTCTTTCCAAGGTTTTTCCACCCTTCCTAACATTCTAATAATTGTCAGACAAGTTCTCTTCTCCAAAGTACCAAACTTTCATTCATCATCATCATCATTACCGCGCAAAGGCTCCCACCTACGGTGGGGGTAGGGGAGGGGGTCAGATGTACACAGTGTTACCCTTGTACTAAAGCATAAAGAGACTGTTTCCAGATGACCCATAGTGAAAATCGCGTAGAAAATTGCATTGAAAATTGCATAGACTTACTGCTGCTACATAACATAGAAACGCAGACAGTTTAGTGAGCCATTTTGCTTTGATCCATCATATTCCCAAGCCAAAAAATAGCGAGTCTTTGGCTCCATTGCAAATGATGGAAATAAAGTACCAAACTTTCATTGAAAACCTTATTTTTAAAAGGAACTGATGCATTTATATGGGCGCTTGTACATTATGAGTTCATGTGCTCTAATTTATTTATCCTTTTCCTGACTTATTATTCTCTCTTGATTCAGTAGAATTTATAATTGCTATTTCTGTTAACCTTCAAATCTGGTGGAAAAGTTATCCCCGTGCTTCTTTTGAACTTAAAAATCACCATAGTTCACTTTGGACAATTTTATACTCCCTCCGTCCCGGTCATTTCTTCCAACTTTCCTTTTTGAGTCGTCCCAATTAATTCTTCCAACTTTCACTTTTGGAAAAAATTTGTGGTTCACATTCATTCACCTTTTTCTTACACAACTACAACCATACATTTTCACTTTATTCCCACTACCTAAATTTGCGATACCGGTCAAAACCGGAAGAAATGACCGGGACGGAGGGAGTATCTATTGAAGCTATCTTTGTTTGCTTTGTGGATGTATATCTGTCTGTATGCACAGAAAAAAGATCCCGCAAAAGCTTATGTGGAAATTCTTTGCTGACACTATCCTGTATTTTCATTTCACAGGCATGAAAAACAGCATATAATAATTCATGTACCTACCTTTTGTTTTGTCTGCATGCAGGAACCTACTGTCATGGCCAAACTTCAAGATGAGGTATAATGAATAATAGAATGAGAGGCTTTCCTTCCCATTAATAATTCTGTAATACCTTAAGGTTTATTGCACACCAAGGAAGGGGAGGAATAAATCTTACATGTATGTTTTCTCTTGTGTTTTGTAGGTTGATTTAGTTCTAGGTGACCGGTATCCAACCATTGAAGATGTGAAAAAACTCAAATATACCACTCGAATTATTAATGAGGTTGGAAACATGTTCACATTTGGTGCAGAAGTCTTTTGTTGCGTACCCAATTTTCTTGTATTTTAATTTTTGTTTTAATTCTTTGCAGTCTCTACGGCTATATCCACAACCGCCCGTCTTAATTCGTCGTTCTCTTGAAGATGATGTACTTGGGAAGTATCCAATTAAAAGGTTATACTTGAAAACTACTTTTGACATCTTACTTATGCATGCCAAGTGCAATGTCAAAAAAGTCTCCTACAAGCTTCTCAATGCTGAGTTTTCTTTTCATCCATATGTAACTTTATCACCACTCCAACTGAAATTGTGTCAGTAGTTCTTATTTTCTTTATGCTCGTGTAACTTTATCAAGTTGTACTCGGATCTCATGGCCTTCTTACATTCTCTAATTCCAAAGTAGTAATTTCCAAAGTAATGAAACTTATTACTACCTCCGTCCCAAATTGATTTGCAAAGTCAACATTTTTTGGTCAAACAATTTCATTTTATTCACATAATTACGATATCAATTTTATAATTATATTCTAATTTGAATTGTGCAACTTTAGAGATTGTATATAGTTTTTAAATATGTAAATTTTAATTACTAGTAATTGAATTAATTATCAATAGAGAAGATTTATCTTTAACATTGGTTGACTAAAATATGTCGGCTTTGCAGATTAATCTGGGATGTAGGGAGTATGTTTTGACTTTGAAAATAGTTCTTTTGACGAGATATTATATGCTATTATGTTTGGTCATGCTCTTAGTAACCAACATGTATACCAGGCATGTATAGACAAAGCGTGCACAACTGCACAAGTGTCTGAACTAAACAAAATAGTATACAAGTTGGTATACACCTTGGTGTACCAAAAGCACTTTATCACAATATGTTTTGACTTTGTTTTATGTTTGCATTACTTGAAAATTTGATAGGGGTGAAGACATATTTATTTCCGTGTGGAACTTACACCGGTCCCCCAGCCATTGGGAAGATGCAGATAAGTTCAATCCTGAAAGATGGCCTGTAGATGGACCTAATCCAAATGAAACAAACCAAAATTTCAGGTAAAGGCGTAAGTGTTGCAATTTTGCAGTTTTATAGTTCATTCTGTAAACCATGGCAGCTATAGTAAGATGCTTTCTACTTTCTGCAAAGATTTTAAGGGGCAACTGAGTGTTGTCTCGTAATATAACAGCTGGTCAGTGGCAATGAGGCAATTTAGTAATTTAGAATCTAGAGCCTGTTGGTAACCTAATACGTAGTACGACTTATTCTGCTTATATAGCTTAATAAGTTGCTTTTGATATATTTGGCTGAAATTGATTGTACAAACACTTTTCCTTAAGAAAATTCAAGAAATTCAGCAGATTCAGCCAAATCAGCCAAATAACTCTTACCAAACGGATTCTTAGAATAAACCTCTGTCTACTAGACTCTTCTTTAGTTTTTCATGGTGGAGATAAAACTACATGACCAATAATAATATAACTCTATGATGTTCAGTAATTTCCCTTAACAAACTGATTCTTAGAATAAAGCTTCTGTCTAGTAGACTCTTTTTAATTTTTTAATGGTGGGGATAAATTTACATGTCCAATGTCTATGTCTTCTTAGAATAAAGCTTTTGTCTATGTCATCTCAGTTATTTGCCATTTGGTGGAGGCCCAAGAAAGTGTATTGGTGACATGCTTGCCACATTTGAGGTAACCTTTCAAAAGTTATAACCTCTTGGAGTAGTTCTCTATGAATGATTATGGTAAAATTTTGCAGACAGTAGTTGCACTTGCGATGCTTGTTCGTAGATTTGACTTTCAGCTCTCTATTGGAGCTCCCCCAGTAAGTTCTTACCCTTCTTCCTTGCTGCTTTGGTCCTTTTTAGCTGCCTTTGGCTGTTTGGCATCTGCCTTATGGGATTGTTCTCAGTACACACTATAGAGATATTGAGGTTCCATTTGGTACCTACTCATTTGGTTTATGAATGTTCTACAAAGTGCTAGGTGGGCCTAGGGCATAGATAGAGCTTAGGCGGGCGGAGCGTAGGTAGTGGGATTTGTTGGGTCCATTTGGGAAAAACTTAGGCGGTCAAGCCGTCAAGGGAAACAAAGGACCTATGTATGTTTAGGCAAGGCTTTTTAGTACGTATTGGCAGATGTCACTCTTTTATGCTAATGTACGTTAAATGAAGATGAGTGGCACATTTATCCTCATATTGTATACTGAAGCCTAAGGTACAACTTTTATATTTGAATGAGATACAACTAGTCAACTATTGGAACTCTTCAATTTAGTTATGCTTATTATTAGAGGTGAGAGAAGTAAGGAGAATCATAGAATAATTTCTGTAAAAATAGTTACGTAGTACAATGTTTTTGGGACAGGATTGGCTCTCAATTATTTTTCTTGTTTTCTTTTTTTTTTCTTCTTTTTATCTCATCTTTTGTATCTTTATCTTTTTTATCCTTTTTATATTATCTCATCTTTATCTTTATCTTATCTTTTTTTTTTATCTTTTTATCTTTCTTATCTTTTTATCCCTTTTAGCTCCGATTTCACATGTCTATTCAGGTCGGTCGACTCCAAACTCTTTTGGGACTAAGGCATAAGATGTTGTTGTTGTTGTAATGCTTTGGGACAACCAAAAAAAGGAAAACTGTCAAAGGCAAGTGGGACAGAGAAATATAATAAAAAACATCTTCTTTTGTTTGAATCTCTTCCTTTGGGACAAAATAAGTTCTCAAGTAGATTTGCTGTTTTGAAGGGAGTTTATCATTTACTTTATTTATTTATAATTATGTAAAATAGGCCAATTAATTCAGAATCTCAACTCAGCTAATTCAACTCATTCAATCACTCCGTCCCCAACAAATGAATTCTGATTTCTCGATGTTACTCCTCATCTTGAAAGACAATATCTGAATCTGTAACAAAGTAGTCCCAGTGTGGTCTAGCAAGTTATCTAGTTTCAATTGTGTGGCAGGTTGAGATGACAACAGGGGCAACAATTCACACCACACAAGGTTTAAGGATGAGCGTTACACGAAGGACCAGACCATCTCCAGCAGTAGTAGTTCCAGTAGGGAAGATGCCACTAGTGGAAGTAGCTTCCTCACTACTGTCTCAGACATAACAGATAAAAAAGGCGAGGAATTCTCTGGTCTGGTATCTTACTGAATCTGTACTTCACCGTGTGATGACATTTGATATATGCAGCTTCAGATCAACTCTTCTACTTGGTACATATCTATTGTGGTTTTTATCTCTGTGAAGTTTTATACTATTGTAGCAAAGTTATTGGAACAAACTCCTCAAAAATCTTGAAAAAGAAACAAAAAATTCAGGGAACTAATTATACCAGTTTAGTTTAGGGATGACCTGTAACTCTGTAAGTAATGTATGGTTTAAAGATGTTTATGATGAGACAAGATTTCCCCATTTTACTGTTTATTGATGCTAATTTCCCCATTTTACTGTTTATTGATGCTAATTTCTCCCTTTGTTATGTATGCACTTGTACTAACTAGTCATACTATCACCATTCTTAATCATGAGAAGTTGTTTTGGTTGGGGTTGCTTTTATGCTTTATAAATAGAATAGTAAAAAAGATTGTCGAGGCTGTACTCGGATGGTGAGAACCGAGTAACATTTGATACTTGGATTTTAGGGCATGTGTTTGGATGGAGGGCTTTGGTTTTTCTTATGGAGGGTACCTTGCCGAGCTTTGTTGAACAACCGTGCTACTTGCCTACTTGTACACATTGAGTTACACGCCCAAGTGTGATTATCTGTGCACCGACAATTGATTTTAATTTTAGCACCGACAATTGATTTTAATTTTAGCAGAGGGAGGTGTTTGTGACTCAAAAAATGGGGGGGGGGGGGGGGGGGGGGGGAGGCCAAGCCGAAGTGCAAAGCAGGACGCACATCGTTCTAAAGATCAAGGACATGTATCGTCCTCAAAGTCAAGGACACTCCTCGTCCTCAAGGCCAATGGCGCACATCGTCTCCAGGACAACGACATTCATCGTCCATATCACGAACAAAACAAACGCGCCACGACTCACGAGCTTTCGCAAGCGTAAGATCCATCAACTAAAGTCAAAGGCACAAGGGCAGGACATTCATCGTCCGTAGAGCCAGGGGCGCACAACGTCCTCTGGTCCAGGACCCTCATCATCCTCAAAGCCATTGACAACCAACTACGAGTGATTTCGCTTCGGCCTGGAGCGCCGAAAGCAATTGTGACGCCTCCTCGGTTGCGCAGGGGTCACACTCATCATCCTCAAAATGAAGGACACTCATCGTCCTCAAAATGAAGGACATTCATCGTCCTCAAAATGAAGGGCATTCATCGTCCTCAAAATGAAGGACATTCATCGTCCTCGAAAGGAAGGACAAAAGGCAGCCAACAACTATGGCACCGTCTCGGCCTCAAAATGATGGACGTTCCTGACGACTCAGTTATGGAACCCCTCGGCCAGAAACGCCGGAACTCCTAGGTAATCCTCCGAAGGCCAAAAGCATCAAGACAATAAGGATGTACTCCCTTTCACTTCGTCTACATCTCAGCTCAGAGAGTGGGGGGCTCCTGACGGAGTATATGGGTCTAGACCACATGGCCCACATACTCAAAAGACTAAGAGGAGCACATGTGTCACCCAGTGGACCCTCCGTCAGCCAGATGACACCCCATCGGCCAAAGAAGGATCAATCCAGAATACGCTCCGGAAGCCAAGGAGAAGACTTGTCCTCCCTCGGCCGTGCCTTCCTCGGCCGTGCCTCCCTCAGCCAAATGGCCCTCCATCGGCCGGATAGACATCAACTCAAAGTACGGTTCGGAGGCCAGGAGAACCGAGGTGCCTCCCTCGGCTGGGTCTCCGTCGGCCAGGGCTCCTTCGGCCAGACGTCCGTCGGCCACAGACAGCTCTCACAAGTCACAACTAGACTCCTCATGTAATCAGCCCAATAGAGACCTTATATTATAATGGGCCTCCCAAGCCCAAAGCTTGGGAGCATAACCCACTCCTGCCTATAAATACTCCCCTTGGGTGCCATGTAAAGGGTTGAAAATTCATTAATACATTGCACTTCTCTTTCCAGCTCTCACTTTTCTCTAGACATAGAGATAAGGGTCAGATAGGGCCCCGAACTTGGAAAAAAATGTCAAATAAGGCCATATTTAGGATGCTCTGTCCCGCCGATGCCATTTGGGGCGGTTTCCAGTGGAATTTTTTTATGATTTTTTTGAGAATCTTATTCATTAAGTCTAGTTTACTCATGTCAAATTTGAACTAAAACTTCAATCTAGAAGGCATTCAAATGAATTCTTGAAGATAATTGCTCTTTTAACTGCGCAGTTATCTTCACGAATTCATTTGTGTGCCTTCCCGATTGAAGTTTTAGTTCAAATTTGATATGAGTAAACTAGACTTAATGAATAAGATTTCTCAAAAAAATTCATCAAAAAATTCCACCGGGAACTGCCCCAAATGACGTTGGCCAGACAGAGCATCCTAAATATGACCTTATTTGACATTTTTTTCCAAGTTTGAGGCCCTATCTGACCCTTATCTCCTAGACATATAGTCTATCACCATGTATTTGGAGTATATTATCAAAATAATATTTTTTTGATGTCGTATGTGGAATAATGGAAAAAATAGTGAAAAAATTGATGTGGTGGTCAGTGGTCACTCAGATGACAACTAGGAAAATTAATGGAAATACCATCTTATGAAGGTCAAGAATAGAAAATAGAGCTATTAGTTATTCTTGTTAAAAGAAAATAGATCCTAATTAGCAGAGGCGGCTTGAGCATTTTGGAGGCCCCAGACGAAAAATATTTACTATGTACAAATCACTTTTAAAATCAGATAAATTGAATAAAAATCGCCTTATGAAAAAAAACATATTCAAAGTCCACGATATAATGTTTGTAATATTCAAAAGGATAAATTTTAAAATGCAAACTTATTCAAATCACAAGGCAAACTTGTTCTTGTAAAAGTATTAAGAGACTTCAAGAACGAGACTCAGAGAGAAGAGCTGAAGAGTCTTAGTTGATTCACTAACCAAGGACCCATGTCGACGGCGGGCAGTGAGGCATATATACAGTAGCCGATTAGCGGTCCGTGTTGGACGTTGATGCGTGTTGAGATCAGATTTTGATAGTTTTTTCCTAACTTTAAGGTGTCATAAATCTCAATTTTAAGCTCAAGTCATATTTACCGGCCGTTGGTTCGAGTTTTGGTATTTTTGGAGTCAAAATCAGGGAATTTGAGCCTTACACCGGTGTTTGAGAAGAAATAGGGACGAGTTGAGAAGCATTGTAGAGTTGATTAAGAGCATTGGAGATCAGTGAGGTGTTAAATACAAAGTTTTGAAGACAAAAGAGCTCTAGAATTGGCTACGAGATCAAAAGAAGACGAATATAGCTTGAAAACAACGGTTAGGATGACGTTCTGTCAATCGTTCAAGCATATCTTTTCTTAGGAACATCCAAAAAACATGATTCAAGTTTCATATGAAAGCCAACTTCAAGGGCTACAAATCATATGAAGACACCATTGTGAGAATCTGAGAGAAGCAAGGTGAAAAGAGACGATGAAGTCAGATAATCTCTGTTGAGATTTCAGAATGCGACCTTCCACCATTTTATTCATATATTTTTATTGGATGATTCAAATCCAGTTTTGCAAGTTATGTTCGATAGAAAACTTCATTAGCTACAATTTTGATGAAGGACGGATAGTCAAAAGTGAACTATAAAACTGATTTCTGCTTGCAGTTGCCGCTTGGTGTATTGGCGGTCTGCGAATAACACCTAATACTAATACCGGAGTAGAATTTTTTGGAGGCCCCCTTGGTAGTTGAGGCCCAAGGCAGTTGCCTGGCCCAACTGCCCTCAAAGCCGCCCCTGCTAATTAGTAGGGAAAATAAATAAATTATTTCCTATTTTGTTGCATGAAGAGTTTCAAACTCACGTTTGTATTTAAAACCGACACTCCCGTTTCAATTATAAGTTATAACTATTAGATAGTTATATTAAGAGTAATATTCATAAAATAACGTCATATATCAAATGACAAGAAAGTGATCACAAGATAAATATTCCATATATATATATATATATATATACACACATATATAGCATTATTTTATGAATATTACTCTTAATATATATATATATATGTATGTATGTATGTATGTATGTATGTATGTATGTATGTATGTATGTATGTATAAAAGGTCCGGCCGGTTCAGATAGGACCCTTGTCCGGCCTCCGTCGTTTGGGACGGTTCTCGGTGGTATTTTTGACTGAAATTTTTTGTGTATGTATTCTTCATCAAGTCTAGTTCATCCATATCAAATTTGAGCAAAAAATTCAATCGGGAAGGTTGTCAGATTTAGAGCCGGTTTGTCAACACGAAAATCGGTTGTTTCAGTTGATTTTGCTGAAATTTATGAAATTTTGGTTGAAGTGGTTGCATTGATTCATTCTGTTGATTTAAGAAAAAAATATTTTAAAATTTTTTTTTGTTAATAAAATAAAGAAAAATTATATGTAAAAATAGCTAGAATGATCATCTACATTAATTTCAGCCAATACAGTTGGAAAAATAACGTCGACCTTATTTTTTCTTATTATTACACAACTCAGACCGCGAAAAAAAATTACTTATTTAGTGAAAAAGTTGATTGAGTCAAAAACAGTGTCCGCAAACGATCTCATTATCTTTATTAAACTGATCGATGAAAATCCTTTTTGACATTGCAGATCTAGTGAAACAGAGAAGGGGATGAAATGCGAAGCAAATGGGGGAATTTTTGCGGGCCCGTTTTAGTCAATTTTTTGCTGCTGGAACACTGACGCTTTCTAGGTTGTAGTAATCCTTGTCTTCACATTTTGGGTCATGTTTGATTGGGACAACTCCAAATGGATACTAGAGCAAATAGAGTAAGAATAGAAGCGTTAGAAAACGGTAAATTCCTCTTAGTTCATCGCAATTCAATAAGTGAGTGTCATAATTTAGGAATAGTATTAAAATGTTTTCTCATTCACTAAACTCTCTTATAACCTTATCTGAATGATTCCACAAGAATTTACACATTTCGTCAAAGTCAAAATATTCAAAATCTAATTCTTCAAACTAATAAGAGAGTTAAACCCCGTTTGGTGATTCTGTTTTTCGGCTTTTCATGTTTAAATCATATTTTAAACAAAACACGAAATTTTTGATCTCACGCACCGAATTGTGTAATAATAAGAAAAAATAAGGTTGAAGTTATTTTTCTGACTGTACTGGCTGAAATGATTGTATATAACTATTTTAGCTATTTTCTCATATAACTTTTTCTTTATTTTAATAAAAAAAATATTTTTAATATAATTTCTTTCATAAATCAACAGAATCGGCCAATACAACTATTTCAGCCAAAACTTCATAAATTTCAGCAGAATCAGCCAATGCAGCCAATTTCAATGTTACCAAACGAGCTCTTAAATTACTCCGTGCTCCATCTCTATATATTCGTTTTTATATACTTTGGTCTACTTAAATAACACTTGTTCAATATTCAGACACTATTGCAATATGTTAGAATGATTAGTTCTTTCATAACAAAATGACGAGTGGTGGTTGGTGTACATTTTTAATACCCGTTTCATAAACTTATCTTTGCACATGAACAACTTTTTTACTTTGTAGACGAGTTGACTATATACACAAGAAGATAGAAATGAGATGTACAATAGAAGTGTAGCAAAAACATGTACACATAGATCCTTCTCGTATTAATAGTTGATTTAGCAAGACATCAAGGATGTTTTTACTTAGACTGTTTTCGGTCCCAGATCAAATCAGACTTGGATAGTTACAAAATACACAGTGACCAGACATCTATCATACGACCAAATTAGACCAGAAAATTCAAGTAAAAAAGAAGATATCAATTAATTATAAAAGTCGTACAAAAATACTACTTAATTGTGTTATCAAAGAACAATGTACGATGCTAATTGTTGACTTCAATTATTAATTAAAAAAATGAAAATTATGACTGAGTTATGTAAAATGAAGAGCCAGAAATAAATTGAACTAACATAGTAGCGTGTGAAGCAAATATAAGAATTCAGCTCAAGTGAGATAGAGAGGATTTATGGAGTATTTAGAGAATCCTACCACTCATCACAACATATTTCTCATGCTAACATGCTCTATATATTTTTTGGTAGGGGCAATGACAAGAGAAAAAGAGAACAATTGGTCAAATTTAAAATAAGCAAAAAAATCATAAATTGGACGATGATAACTAATAAAAGAGAAAGAGAGAACATGACTGTGCATGACAATTAAACGATGATAAAATGGTAAGATAAATATTTATTAGTTATTAAATATTGTGTGTTAATTATTAATGTGAGTTTTGTGTTATACTAAAATGAGTATAGTGTAAAATAAATATGCACAAGTGAACATTTGAACACAGTCGAGAATTCAAACGAGTGTTTGAATTTTTCGATACTCATTTTTTAAGTTACTTATGTTCATCTCGTATTGATTTATGCTCTTTTTAAAATATCATATTAATGCAGATTTCAAAAGTACTATATTAGATTAGATTCACGTAAAAGTTGATTATAGATATGAAGACACATACAATGATATCCAATTGCATGTTTCTAATATTCAATATATGAGGTTTGGTGCTTAATGAAAATCTCTTGATACTCCAACTAAAAATACTTATAAGTTTCATATAAATACTCATTTTGTAAATTACGTACGCTCAACTGCTACTCATGTAATGCTCATTTTTAAAATGTCATAACAATGCATATTTCAAAAGTACCATATGACATTAGATAGCATATTGAAATTCATAGAAATTGATTATAGATATAATTTAATGAGTTCTTATAAAAGAAAAAAATAAGAAAAAGAAAGTGAACTATAATATATGAAGTTAATATCACAATACTCATTATTCGACTCTTAATGCTCTGAAGCATACGTCTAATGCTCATCTAAAGAAAATCATGATTTCACTGAAATTACGAAAATGCCACCTTTTTTGTAGTTGTGATATCAGCTTTCTCTTAATAACACAGTACTCATTATTAGACTCTTAATACTCATTAAAATTGGACTATTGCTCATTAACAGTACACTAATGCTCATTTAGTAAAAACCGCGATTTCACATTAATTACTCCCTCCGTCCCATTTAAAGGTTCTCGTCCACTATTCACATGGTCAATTTAAATCATTCTTAACATTTTGCTTTATATATCAAATTTTTATGAAATTTACATATTTTTTATCAGCCTTTGTAGTGACTTTAATGTAGTTTCTGAATATGTATTTTTTGTTTTCTAAAAATAATCGGAGTGTGAACAGGGATCAAGTTGCTTTATCGTCAGTCAAACATCGCAAACTGAATCGGGAACCTCTATATGGGACGACGGGAGTACAAAAATGTCACCGGCTGTACGGTGCTCACCGTTCAGCTGGTTGTACGGTGGACGGACTCCTAAACAGTGGACGTAAGACAGGTGGGACCATAAACACTTTGGTTGCGCTTTTTTTATGGAAATTATCTACAGAAATGCTAAAGGTATCTAAAAATGTACCTCATTTTTACCCTCGTCTCATAAAGTATGGTCATAAATGGTGCAATTCATTTAAATGAGTTACCACTTAAATGAATTGACCCATTTATGATCACACATTAGAGAGTGGGGTAAAAATGGAATACATTTTGGGTATCTCTACCAAAACTCAATTATCTAATTATCTAATGACTTAATAGCGTGTGCCAAACGGATCCTAAAGTGTCATCACATCAGTCCGTCAGTTCCCAGTTCCCACAGTTTTACACTGTTAAAAGTATGTATTTATGTGCCCTTCTCTCTATCTCACTCGCATTCTGAAACGGAAGAAAGACAAAAAGAGAACAAAGCACCGCAACTCTGCATACCCACCGGAGACAAGAGCACAGCCGGCGGTCATCTCCCTTTCGCCGCCCTTTTTCCGGTCAATCTCGCTCTCCATCTGGTGGGCACACAAATGCTTCCTCTCCCACGCTCTTATCTATTCTCTATGAACTGTCAATGTTTTTTTTCACGTTTCCCCATTCCAGTATTTTCGAGAGGAGCTTTCTTCTTGTAAAGTAGGTATTTGTAGATTGTTGCCTTAATGGGTTGTTATTGAATTTGGTCTGGATTCTGTTTCTTTTTTCTTTTTTAGTTTCTCTTTTTTGTTTTTGCATTTCCGTAGGCAATGTTAAAATGAAAAGGTTGCTTCCTGAAGTGGTCCTTGAGTTAATTTACTAAAACGAGTGAAAGACTGTACTATGTGAATGTGATGTATTCAGTGATTTAAACTTTAACTTCTATTTACAAGGCTACATTGTATGTGTTCTGTACTTCTGTATGTTAATTGATACCAATATCATTAACTTTTACAAATTTTGCTAATCCTTGAGCTTGTTTGCATTCGTACAATGAAATTGATAAAAATTTCAAGTTTAATATTAAAGTGCTTATAGCATTTGTTAGAGCTTAGAAGTATTGCTCATATATGTATGTTAACCTGCAACGTGAAAAGACTTCTACTTCCGTAAGCTTTTGGTGTTCTAACATTGTTTTTCACAGCACTGTGGTGCAACCTTTCATTTTATAAAGTGTTCCAAAAGCTAGATGATTGGTGGTTGCAAAGTATTGCTGACTTACAAGCGAAAGAGGCAGCATGTTTTGCACAGAGAAGGGGTTGCTAATTCATCCGCCAATTTCCCAGAATCCTCCCCAGTTTCACCACAGAAGAACGGAGAAGCAACTGATGAAAACCATAGGTCGAATGATGAAAGAAAAGAATCCGAGGTGTGATGTTTGTGCTTTTTTAAATTCGTGTAGAATCATTCTTCTATAGGGATAAGGCTTATATTATAATCTCGAGTAAGGACATCTATACATAGTTTGCTACACCCTTGTGTAGCATGCATCTATTGTATGATGAATAGTTATCTAACTTTGCATGACACACAAGAATGTGCCCACAAAATGTAGGAAACAAATGTATACTTCTCTTTATTTTATCATTTCAATTGAAACACATATTCTTTTCTGGTTACTTCGTGAGGGACCAATTTGACCTGACTTTGAGTCGAGAAAATAGTTTGTGAAATTGTATTAAGCTATTATCATTATATATATATATATGAATAAAAGCAACGTATATGCATTTAAATGCTCTCTAATATGGTATCCATGCATCTTAAACTCTATTGAGCATATAAGGCAATGTACTACTGTTAGGTTGAACTCTTAAATGAAACGCCAAATCTTATTATCTTAAAGCCTTTTCTCCTGATTATGTCTTGGTAGGGTCCTCATCAAGACGGCTGCTCGCTTCAATTGTGTGGTAAAGCAGAATCTAATATTGCTGATCCAATTAAGGAAAGAAAGTTTCACTCCCCTTTCCGAACATTTCATCGAAGAGTCAAACAGAATAATCAAGGAGAGTCTAAAATTGCTAACAATTGCTTTGAAGATGCTTCTGCAAATCAAAAGCATGAAGAGGTGGATACTATCAGTCGACATTTGGAATTTCCATGGAATATGTTTATTTTTTTAAGTATATAGAGAATGTACACCGTCTAATATAGAGCCGTTGCCGGTGTGATCTATTTAATATGGATTTAAAATTAATAACACTTAGAATCCCTTGGTATTAGTAAGAATTGAGATTTTAATGTGAGAGGTTTGCTAATGGCTGTCAAAATTTCAATTATGATGTTTGGATGTGCTTCTCCAAGTGCGTAAAGCACTTTCAGAGGTCGAAAGTATTTCAAAATGTGAAGAATAAAAATGTTTTTGAGTAATTTTGAAGTGGTTTTTAAAATGAGAATGTTTTTGAGAGAAGCAAGAAAGTTTTTAAGTTGCAATAAAAGCACATCCAAATGCGTCCTGCAGTTGATCAGCTCTGCCATTTGTTCTTTCTTGGTCACACTCCATAATTGAACACTGAAGTTTCTTTTTCTGTTTATGGTTCTATATTCTCCAGTAGTATTTATTATTATTTTTAATTACACTGTTGCAGCCAACTAGTGATGATGGTTATCATTCATGTGTTTCTACTGGATCAGCTCCTCAGATGAAAACGTGAGTTTAAATACGTGAGTTTAAATGAAATGTCAATACATTGAAAATGTGTTCTGTATGTATATAATACTCCGTCCCACAAACAAGTTCTAACTTTCCTTATTTGAATTTCCCAAAATAAAGTTTCCATTTCTACAAATAAAATGTTTTTAATAGCCAAATGTCACTTTTTGCTTCTTTTTTGCATTTTGCTGGATTTCACATAAAGTGAGGGTATACTTGAATAATCTAATCAAAACTTTATCTTGAATAATCTAATCAAAACTTTATCGTGCTTAAATATGTCTACGTCAAAATGGAAACTTGAGAATTTTAATAGCATGCATTGAATGTTTATTACAGACATCTTGAAGTTAACAAACTACCTCAAACAGTGGACGATGCGTCCTCACCTAATGAAGTAGCTTTTGGGGGCTCTGCATCAAGCCCTTCTGGTTTGCATAAAAGTGTTGCTGTTGATGAGGCGAAACAGATCTTAGTGAAATCATCGATACAAGCTCAGGGAAATTCATGTTCTGCCACGAAAAATGCAGAGGTGACAGAGAATCAAATTATAGATCTGAATATCTCAGAATTTCTTGATGACAATGCAGATACCAGAGATTCCCTAAATTTGGGCTTATCCGTTCATTTGTGTGGTATGTGTTCACTACATTCTCACTTTGTTTGTCTTCGAAAGGCATCATAATAAGATACTCTCTTCTCAGATTCTTCTGAAAGAACGGGTTGCAATAAGAAGTTGGTATGTGATGTGGCGGATGACCAACCGATTTGTACTACACCAGACACAAATGGAAATTGTTGCAAAAGCTCAGGGCTGAAGAATTATCCATCACAGGTGTGAATTTCTGTGCCTTGCTAAACTCCTTTTCGATTGTTTTACCTACGCTCCATTTGTCAGTACACTTGTGCTTATACTAGAAAAGTAATAAGTGGTCACTTGGCCGCTGTCTGGTATATTTTTATCAAACACTAGTATATTTGATTGCGATTGCTGAATTGGATAATAATGAAAAAAGTAGGGCACTAAGGCTGGATGTACTTTTTTAATTGAAGTTGCTGAAGATGTTCATTTTAGCCCTTTTTCATATGTATTTGTTTTTTAATTCAATATACTATAATAATCTGTATTTTTTTCATTATTCATCAATCTCATCAGCACCAGACACAAATTCACCACAATTTCACAACTTCAACTAAAGTCACCATTACCGAATTGTCAATTGAAGTAGCTTTCGACTTATTTGGTGCTGAAACGGATGCTATTAAATGCTCTTCTTTCCGAAGTTTCAGGAGGTTCAACCATTTCAGTCAAATACCCCTCACCAAACATGCCCCTAGCCTTACTTGGAGAGTGTTTTTTTATAATAACATTACATTGCTTTCAGCTCTCCACACAGGACATAACCTATGATTTCTTTCCAATATCAAGCTCACCAAAAAAGATCAACACCATCGCCAAGGATTCTAATGATGGAAATCACCCACAACAAGAACGTGAATTCCTCCCAAAGCATGTCAGCCCAAACCCTGCACTTTTTCTCCATCAGGTGGGTCCACCAATGGTTGAAAGACCGCCACCTACACCTGCTTATGTTTCAAATTCCCTTCAGTGGTTGAGAGAATTTAAACGAAATGCGGTTCCTCTCCACCCTCCATCTGACCAAACCTCTTCACTTTTCCGACATCAGATGATACTTGACAACATAGTCAGCAGAGCCACATCAAGGAAAAGGAAAAGGAATCGAGTCCCAATGAATGCAATGATGTGGTCTGAGGAGGAGCTCGATTGTCTTTGGATCGGGGTGAGAAGACACGGGAGAGGCAAATGGGAGGCCATGTTGAGGGACCCACGGCTCCGTTTCTGTTCTTGGAGGTCCGCCAGAGACCTTGCTGAGCGTTGGGAGGAGGAACGGTGGAAACTCATGCATGGTGGATCCGCTTCTCAAGTAAAACAACTGAGAAAACTGGACCCATATCGTTCAAATGATGTTCAGCTCTCACTTGGAGCAAACACTGGAACCTTTTGTCTTAATCCTCACATGTTTGACCAATCTGAAAGCCGTCCAGTGTTGACTCAGGATTCGTTTACTGTGGGCCATCCAGCTGACATGGCGGTGAGAGGGAATTTGCCTAGCTGGATTAGAGAAGCGGTGTCGATGCCTATTAGGCCTCCTCTCTCAGGATTACAACGGGCTAATCCCATTGTCTTCCCAGAATCTAATGAATCAGTGGATAAATTAAGCAGCCTCCACAACATCACAACTGTCTCTGGCAATTATCCTACTGCTCAAAAGGATGAGTTCATTATCAACAACAACGATGGCTCTTCAGAGGAAACAATATCTGATGATCATAATAATTAACCTTCAGTCTTAATTTGCAGCCATGGAAGCTGTAGAAAGGTAGGTAGTTGAGTTATCTGTACATTTTGTATTGTACCCTTTAATTAAATAAGAATTCCTAGTAATGTAATTTGTTGAGCTGTCATAAGGGCCTGATTATAACATATGGTGGTTAGCATTGTACTATCGTAGTATTTATTTCATAATTCCCCAAATATGAAGCATTAGGAACGTTTTTGTTTGAATCAAACCATCAGGAACTGTTTTTAGTGATTCTTTTTGTTCCACCGTTTTGTTTTATGTCTCACTATCATTGTATTTGATGCTTTCTTTAGTTTATACTACCTCCGTCCCAAAATGAACTTCCCATTTCGGATTACGATGCTTGACCGATGATAAAGCAATTCGATCCATGTTCATACTCAGATTACTTTTAGTAAATAAAATTTACATATTGATAAACTACATTAAAATCTCTACAAAAGCTGATAAAAAAATATAAATTTGATAAAAATTTGATATATAAAACATAAGATTAAGAGTAATTTAAGTTGACCATGTGAATAGTGACTGTGAAGTTCATTTTGGGACGGAGGGAGTAGCTCTTAAGATAGGAAAACCTACACACACAAATAACAACCGTCTGATGTTCAAGTTATCGTGTGTTAGATATATTCTAGAACAGACTACTAGCACATTTTGTAATAGACTAGTACGGAGTATTTGTTAGAGTTTCTGTTAAGTTTGTTAATACCACTGTTGAAATCTTCAAAAGTTGAAAGTAGGTGAGATTATGAATAGTGAAAGGGGATATATAAACTATTGAGGATATGATGAGAAGATAATAAAATAGTGTGGTGGAATGAAAGATAAATCTAAAAAAGTAGGTGTAATAGTGTACAAAGTATTATTTATAAAATTATTGAGGGTGTGATGTGAAATAAAATGGAAAAATTATTTAGTTACGGTTGAAAAAGAAAAGTGGGAAGATATTTGCATTAGGGAGGTAGTATGACTTAACTAATTATACATAGTATATACTTTGTAAAGCTGCTTTCATAATCAAGATATAATCAAGATATAATGCTCTCTGCATCTCTTCAATCTATGTTCTAATTCTAATACGGTATTAGAGCTCTAGCTCAATCCATTAATGGCGATCTCCAACGATAATTCCCGTTCTTCTTCAGCTCCTGGAAATTTTGGAAACTCCAGTTCTTCGGTGACTTTCGCACATCCTCTCCGATTAAGCTTGATGTAAACAATTTCCTCTTCTGGAGACACCATGTCGAATCCGTTGTTCGAGCACATAAATTGCATCGATTCATCGTGAAACCAAAATTTCTAAAACAATTCAACAATGTCGATGACGAAGCAAGCAGAAACGTTAGTGAAGGCGTACATCATTTTGCAACAACAAGATCAGATGTTGTTCTCATGGTTGCTTGCATTGCTTTCCGAATCTCATCATGCTCGAGTAATTCACTGTAGATACTCGCACCAACTTTGGAGTGAGATCAACAACTTCTTCGAGTCGCATATTATTGCTAAAGCTAGACAACTCAAATCTGCGTTATATAACAGGTGATAGCTCGATTTCCTAATATCTTCTCTGCATCCAAACAATTGCTGATAATCTTCTATCAATGGGAGAATCTGTCTCTGCTAAAGGTCACATCAACGTTATACTTGAAGGTGTTCTTGAAGAATATGAATCTCTGACATCTTCTATCTCTGCATGAAGTACTCTAGATCATGTGAATCTATCAGAAGTAGAATCTCTTCTAGCTGCTAAGGAAATGTGATTGAAGAAGCTTCACGATTCATCTCTTCTAGCTGCAAATCTATCTTTGCAAATGTAGCTTGCCCGGAAACATCAACCCCAAATAACATTCAGCACTAGAAAATTCTTCAGAAAATCTTTCTGTTCAAGTTGCACAGTTCAATGCTCCTACTGATACTGATTCCTACAGAGACAGAGGTCATGGAGGTGCTGCGAGAGGTCGTTGTGGCAGATTTGGTGGTCAAAGTTCAGTTATATGCCGAGTCTGTGGCAAAACTGGCCATCATGCACTTATTTGCTATCATCGTTTTAATCCTTCATATACTGATTCGTCTCCATCTTCCTAGAATCAACACTATCCTTCTAAATTTATTTGACTTTCATGTCTCTTCCTAGTGTTGGTGTTTATTTCAGAAAGTTTTAAATAAATTTATGTTTATTAAAATTTATCATAAAAATGATTCATTTTAGTATATTTTGCACAACCTAAAAATGCATCGATCCATTACATTTTAAAGAAAAATGTATTTTTACAAATTAAATTCTAAAAACACATACTCCAACATTTAAGAAAAGTTTTTTAAAGTGATATTTGACTAATATTTAAATTATGCTCAAATCGATTCGATATTCGTATATGATTCGTGAACTATTCATATTGTTAAACAAATACGAATACAAATCAAAGTTAATATTCGTTTCATATTAAAAAAAACAAATACAACTACAAAATCACATTGTTCGATTCGTTTACCACCCTACCTATTACTACATATTTTCTCATCTTTCTTACCCTCATATAAAGATAAGAGCACATATTGCACATTACGCATGGATTGGGCCAGTTCACCCCAACCCGGCCCGCTATTGTGCGGGTCCGTGCTGTCCCGGACCACCGGGATCGGGACTGGAGGCCCGAACCGGGGATATTATGGGCGAGCCTCGGGCTGCTGAAAAGGTGGGCTGCCTTTTTCCCCCATTTTAAACAATTTTTTTAAAAAAAACCTAACCTGACCTGAGCCCAGCCCATCCCTATTGGGCATTGTGAACCTTTCCTATTGGGTCATGGCTAAGAATCAATAGGATTCAAAAGATGGTACCAAACCAGAACAAGTCTAACGAGGAAGCGATCCAACCCGACTGGTCACCGACTCACTCTCCCTTACGGGAGATTTTGATTCGAAACTCAATGGCGTGAATTTTAACCAAGTTCACTCCAGGCTCTCTCCCCCAGACGCCTCTGGATTAAAAAAACCCGGTAGAAGTCTAATTTATTCCGAAATTTGACCATATAAAAGATTTATGAGACATTTTCTTACTACTTTGACAATTTCTTATAGGAAAATCTGAAATTCCAATTGTCATTTGTCACGTCCTCTCTTTCCCACTAACACAGTAGGAGGGGTTGTTCTTGAGAAGAACAACTTGTTTCTTTTACGTTACAAAATACTAAAAAGAATCAATGGGACAAAGAGAGTACGGTAGACTCTTAGCTTAGCTTGATCTCACTCCCCCAAAGTCAAAACTAAATACCCTCTTTTGGTCTGATCTCAATTCCTTGCACAACTAAGCCGCGCTTCACTTCTCCTTCTTTCACCTCCATACAACTTATATCTATACACCCTTCTTCACCATTTGTTGAGATGAATATATCCCCCAACTCAACTTCCATCCAACCATCACTTCTCTGCTTCCGATATTCTGCATGCTCCTCTTGGGGTGTGCTCTCGTTGTGTCTCATCACATGAGGCATTCGGTAACGCAATTGCCGCACCTGCCTTGCAGCTTCTATGTGTCTGCGGGGTTCCAAATAAACATTCCTCGTTTTAGCCTCCTGTCCGCTAATCGCTATTGAAGCCTCGATGGGTACGGAGTCAAAACCATAAGCATTTGATTTCAGTGAGAACACCAGGTATGCTGCGTAATTAGTACCTGGTGACAGCAACTTTGCACATATCTTGCCACGAATTTCAAGCCACCATACATGATTAAGCTCAGGAACTTCAGAAAACCTTGGAAAAGACAAAGAAAAATAAAACTTGATTATAACACTTCATTTTTTTTCAAGCCATGACTAAATCAAAGTGATGGACATAATATGATTTTTGATGCAGAGTTACCATGATGGTTGAGCTTTAACCTATTCCATTATTTTCTTTTCTTTTTTTTCTAAATGGACGCTTGATGTTTCAGGCATAGAAGCAAAGAAACTACTTTAAACCAAGAAATAATCAATTGATTACTGACTAATTAAAAATGTTGAAAAAATCAGCATCCTGAAGAGTGAAGAGAAAGCATTTTTTGTCATTCGGTCTTACCTTGATTGAGGAAGAGAAATCCAATTCCAGTATCTAATGTCATCGCCCCAAGTAATGTGGAGTGACCTTGGAGCTAACATATAACATTTCTTTCCACTCCTTTTCTCTAATGAGAAGCTCTGCTTAACCAAAACGAAAGGCACAATTAACATGTCATGAACCAAAATGACAGCCCTTAAAATGGCTAGTAGAAAAAGGCATGTATAGTTTTAACTATTTTTGTTTCTGATGCTCAATAGGATTAACGACTAACACACTCTACGTAATTGGTAAAATGGCATTACTAAAAAGGAAGTACTCAAATGGCCATCTAAGCAGAGTAACAGAACTATTAAGAAATCTGTTTCCAATCCATAATCAGCTTTTGAATAATCAGATTAATAAGAATAAGCATCAGAATAAGTAACCATAATGTGGAGCACAACTAAACACTTCTCATTTCAGAGAATTCAACAAATAAGCCGAAAAGGAGGCTGAGATATCAATGTCTATGTGAATACAACAGTAAAGTTGATTTTCATAGACTTTTAGATGCGTATGTTCTAGACGAATCTATTCTAAAACTCCAGAATCATCTCTCCAAAATATAAAACGTACAAGGGTGAGTAAGAATGTAAAATATAAAAACAAGAGGACTATACTGACCTATATCAGAGTAAAATGGCAGTATTAAAGCAAATTATACTCCAATTTTGCAATTCCACTTTATTTTTATTCCTATTTAGCCTGAAAAACAAAAGTAATGCTCAGGGAATTACCTTGGTGCCGCCGTCAATAATGACGGGGTGATCGCAGAGATGAAAGTAAAGATCCTTCCTGGAAGGCAGCTTGAGCAAATCGGCGCTATTGACAGCGGTGGAAAGAATGTCGCGGTAATCGGAAGGCAAGAATCGGTCCCAGACGGCGTCGAATTGCGCCGTGGAGTGAAAGCTAGGCGCAACCAGAGACAAACAGCAAGCGTCCTTAGGGCTGGTCAGCGAAAGCACGTTGGCTATGCATTCATCCGGCAGCGCGCTGATATCTGCTCCGGAAAAGCTCTCCACCGCCATTGTTATCAGACTGGATGTATAATTCCTTCTGCTTTGATCTATGAGTAACAGCGGAATTTATACGTAGCAGGAGATTGGGAGGATACCAGGCCAGTTGGTCAATATCCTTGTTTCGAGCACTCGGAAGTCGTAACTTAATCAAGCTGATTTCCTAAGCTCCGGACACGTGGAATTTCCCGCCTACGGTGTAAGCGCGCTAGCTTAAGTATGAGCTAAGTTATGTAAATAGAGTCTAGATTTCCCTAATAAAATTAAATAAGTTTTGAAATTTATGACCGATATGTTTTCGTTCAAATAAGAATGATTGAAATACTATCATGACTGAAAAAGGTTGTCAATAATGATAGTGAATAATGTGATGTTGAATGCTTTGTATTGTAACTGGTCGGTTGGCAGTAATGACTAGAAAATGACAATAAATATTATCATGTTATTCCTATTTGAAAAAGAAAAATATAGCATTTTCTATTTTGGGATTCCAAAACCTATTTACTCATATTTTTTAAAAGAAGAAAATCACTATTATACCATGAGTTTATACCATAATTATTAATGCAATCTTGCATTTTCAAAAATTAATTAGTTGCCCCCAGAATTTTTATCATTCTCATTGTTTGCCCCTCATGTTAATATTGGTTAAATTAAATTTAATATAACTCTTAAATTCAATTAAAGTTGTCTATAAAATTAAATTTTAAATTAAAACACATTTTTTATCATTATTATAAGTCATTATCGTTGATCATTATTTTTCTACTTAGCTACTCGATCATGGAATAAATATTAATGAATGTAGTATTGTAGTTAACAGAGAAGACTCAAGAGTAAGATATAAAATATCATGAATTTTATATTTCTAATTTAAAAATAATAATATCATTTAATCTTTTTAAACTAATAATTTTTTTGTGAAGAAAATATCATCAAAAAATAGTAATAGAAATCAAAATCTAAGACATATTATAGGTCTTATATTATAGATAGCTTTCAATTTCAGACCCTATCAAACATTCTATCTTTTAGGCCTTTTACTAATACTAGATCAATCTTTTAGTTTATGGATTGCTAAAATTCATATTTTCTTGGTATTTCTTCTTTGCTACAAATGAAAGAAATGTCATTGAGATTAATTCAGCTGAATGAATTACAAATAAGACTTTTATATTCATAATGAAGAGGCGTCTAGAATTTTGATAACACATATTTCAAACAACTTTCTTATGTATCCCATGAATATTACTGATCTCGCGAGTCTTCTACCTTAACTACTTTCATTAACATTTAAACCACGATCAAGTAACTAAGTAGAAAAATAACTGATAGACTATAAGTCTAGAGAGAAGTGAGAGCTAGAGAGAGAAGTAATATATTTGCTTTGTATTAATGAATTGTGAACCCCTACAACTACTCCCAGAGGAAGTATTTATAGGAAAAATTAGGGTTGAGCTCCCAAGTCTTGGGCTTGGGAGGCCCATTTTCAATAGGGCCACTAATGGGCCGGATACAAAGCACATATAAAAGATTAAGCATAAAACCCTATTCTGGAGGCCATCTGTGGCCGATGAGGGCACGACCGACGAGGGCGTGGCTGACGAAGACCCGGCCGACGAGGTCACCCGGCTCTTCCTGGCTTCTGGATCACTTTCTGAGTAGACTTCTTTCTCGCCGATGAGGGTCATCTGGCCGACGAGGGTCCCACCATGTGGTCGTGGTACCTTCCGTTCTCATGAGTATGTGGGCCCTGGGGTCCTGGCTCATATACTTCATCAGGAGTCCCCACTCTCTAAGCTGAGATGTAGACGAAGTGAGGGAGAGTAGATTTCCTGTCTTTGACGTTTTCTGGCCGTCGTGGGACCACTATGGGGGTTTCCCTGTTTTGGCCGTTATTAGCATCCCTTGCTCTGGGTTTTTGTTTGCGTCGTTACGGGCACTTCGCGTTCTGGCCGTTGTGTGGTCTTCGCTGTGGACGAAGAGGGCCCTAGTAGTGCAGATGATGAATGTTTCTGGTTTCAAGGACGACGAGTGCCTTTGCTTGGTGGGGACGATGAGCGTTCTCTTGCGCGAGTGGCCGATGGAGACCACGTTTCCCTACTCCTGGCCGTTGATGATTGAACTTTGCACTCATGGCCGAGGAGACCATTGTGGTTATTTCCTGTCCGAGGACGATGAGGATCCTCATCCTTTGGGAACATGAGGATCAAGAAGAAGCGAAGTATTCAGGAGCTTCCGGGCATTGAGCAGTCGACCCAGCAGAGTAGCTCTTCTCGAGCCCCACCACACAGGAGACCTGGTGAGCCATCCTCGGACATGCCTAGTGCTTCAGATTGGAGTGCGATGATGGACGCGATGAGGGGTCTTCAGACCTCATTCGTAGATTTTCGAGGTGCACATGAGAGAGCATTTCAGGAGATGCGAGAGGCACATGCGTCGGCCCTAGGAGAATTCAGAGATTATAGACTGGCACAGGAGGGAGCCAATAAGGATATTCAGGAGCAGCTAGAGACTGAGCGACTGGATATTGAGGAGATACGAGAGTGGCTGCGGCCTAATCATGGATCAGGGGATGACACAGGCGATGCCTAGATTTGCTTCTTCCTTGACATTTATCTGTGTTTGTTTGTTTATTCAAGATTGGACATTGCGCTGCTCTTTTGACTTGAATGCTCTCACAAACTACCCATGGATGCTGTAAGGATTTTTAAAACCATTTTAATCTCGTTTCATCGTTCCTCTTCACAAAATCTTTTCAAAACTCAAGTGTGAGGAAAGAACAAAAAAATGTGTCTTATTTCAAATCTTTGTGCATTAAAAAGAGACCTTGAGGGCGAGGTCCAGCTCAAGTGTGAGGAGGTTGTGTTTTACACTCAAAAGTTAAAACCTTATTTTAGAACAATCTTTTTACTATTTTTGATATGAAACATTAATTTCTCAATTGCTATCAATCACATAATAGGTTAGAGAATCACCCTTATTATAAGAATTTACTTTTATTATTATTTTTAGAAAACTTGAAATTGTTATGGTTTCTTGGTTGTGAAAGTAAAGGGCTGAATTTGTTTTAATTGGACATTCATTTTAGTCAAAAAAAAAACTCATTTAATCTACTCTGTGGTTAGCTCCTTCTCTCATTACCCAGCAAACAATTTTTTTTTGCTTCCAAGAGCTATTTTCTTTCGGCCGAGTTGTGTAAATTACATATGCGGCTAAGTGTTGCAGCTTTCCATTTTGATTATCGCACCCATGTGTTGTTATACCTATTCATCCCTTCCCGCTGGCACTATATCATCCTCTTGGACAATTTCATCTCCAAAAAAAAAAATAAAGGGGACTCCGTTTTAACCATTAACCATAGTCTGTGACAATACATCCACCATGAGACTACACCGCCAACAAGAGTGAAAATGAGTCAAAAAAAAACTAGATGAATGTCCAATTTAGAATCATGAAAACCTTGGGATAGGAAATGATTGGTGGTTTAACATAATTAATAGTTTCTTTAGTAATAATAATTTTAAATTCTTGTATTTTGGGTGATTTTTCTAAAATATTTAAAAGTTGAAAATAAAAGAAGAGGTTTTTGTTTCTATTTCTTTAATAGCAACTCGATTGTAATACAGTTTTACCTTTTTGAGTGTGTTTGCAACTAATTTGTCGCTTGAGGACAAACAACGCTCAAGTGTGAGGAGATTGATAAGTCCATTTTTGTGCTTATTTTTCTTATCAAATTTAAGCGATTTTTGAACGAAAACAGAAAGAAAAGGCATGTTTTATATATTTTGGTTCAAGTTTCGTGAAATCAGGTAAAAATCACGTCCATGATATGTTTGACAAAATTTCGGGTCAATTAAGCACACAATCAGTCAATTTCAGTAACAAATAATATCATATCGGAAGAAGCAAGCATTATATCAAAGTGGTCCAGAAGACAAAATTGAAGAGCACAAAATAAGGAAAAAGTAAGACAAAGAAGCTCACATGCGGCATGATAGGCGGCCAAAATGGAGGCCTTCACGGCCGCCTACGTAAAAAATTAAAAGTCAACATTGGCTTTGACTCAAAACGGGAAGAAGACCGAAGGCTGCCGACACTGGATGGAAGGCGACCGCCTTCGGTGGCCGCCTGCGACACAAGGCGACAAACCAACCACCGGCCGGTGGGATTTGACGGCAGGCGGCCAGACAGGAACGGCAGGCGGCCGCCTGCTGGACCGCCTGCGGCGGATGAATTGACCGGCGCACGTTCGCCTGTCGGTGACGTGACGGAAGGCGGCCGCCTAGTTGGCCGCCTACGGTGATTTTTGTCCTATAAATAGCCCTACTCAAACACACCTCTTCCAACCCTAATTAAGTTCAAAAAGCTTCAGTTCTTCCTCCATTTCCGCAGCTCCAAAGTTTTTTGGGAGAGAGGAATTTCAAATCTTCATATCTTCTTCATTTCAGCTTCAAATTGTATGTTCTTTATATGTATTTTCATCTTCTCAACGAGTAGAACCTGAATCTGAGCTTTGTTTTCTCGATCTATTCTTTGAATTTTTCCAGAATATTTATCAAGTAATTCGCATTTTCTTCCAAAAATTAAATAAAATAGTTGTTGATAGTGAATTCATTCCAATTATTTATATAGTTGTTTACTAGGTTGTTATTTATCTGAAGAAAGTTAACTTTCCCGAAGAAGAAGTAATTTTTAATTAATTTCGGTAATTAGTTGTTATTATTGCATAAATTAAATTAATTACTTAAAAATAGTAAAAATATAGTTTCGGCCCTAATTCCAGTTTATTTCACTGTAATATCACCCCCAGTAGTCAATAGAAAATTTAGAATGAATTTAGCCTATTTTTAATTGCCTTTTGTATTTTATAGTTAAAAGTAGGAAAATGATCAATTAGGGTTAAAATTGGATTCTAGGTTTAAAAATTCGTGAAAAAATCCAGAAAGTCATATTGTAGTTCCAGAAAGTTTATTTTGACAAGATCTTGTTTTTGTTTAATTTTTGCTATTATACATGTTTAATTCCTTGTTAATGGTTAATTTAATTACCATATTATTGAATGCAAAAATAATGTTTAGTAGCTAAAATTGTTTTGGG